AGAACGCGAGGAAAGAGAAGCCGCGGAAAGAGCCGCTCGAGAGGCTGCTGAGGTGATTTTTTTGAGGAGGGTGTTTAAGGAAAAAAAAAGTTAGAGACTTGATTGATTAACTTGTGTCCTTCTTTCCGCAGAACTATGGCACTGAAAACTATGGCAAATTGCCGATGAACAAATCACAAGAGAGGAAAGGTAAGCAATATGGTTTTTTTATTAATCGATAACCAAATGACTTATCTTTACACGATTACACTCAAAGGTGTTTGTAGAATTCGTGTTGCGGATATTAATGCTAGCCGTGCTGGTGAAACAGTAAATATTCGAGCTCGCGTGCACACTTCCCGTGCAAAAAGTGAGTTATAATTTATAATTTTTTTTCATTTGATATTCGCATGATGCAAATCGATTGAAAGTTCGCGTTTCCTAGGCGCGAAACTTGCTTTCTTTGTATTCAGACAGCAAGAAAGCACAATCCAGGGAGTTCTTACCGTCGACGAAACTAATATTAGCAAGAATTTCGTCAAATTTGCCTCCAAGTATGGCTGCGTGTTTCGCTTTCGCAATGGAACACTGCTTCATTACCAAGATAATATTTAAGAAATTTAATTAAATAGTGTTCCAGTCGAATCAATTGTCATCATAGAAGGTGTTGTAATACAAACAAAAGAAGAAATCAAGAGCACCACAGTATCCGATGCAGAATTACAAATTAAGAAGGTAACGTGTGCAAACCAAATAAGTTGCATTGTATAATTGCCAACATGTCTCACCCTTGACTTTTTGCATTCTAGTTTTATGTGATGAGCGAGACTCATGGCAGACTACCATTTTCATTGGAAGATGCCTCGAGAAGTGAAGAGGAATTCAGCAAAGTAACAAAATTTGTTATCCATACACTGTTAGAATACTGCATTCGTTATAATTTCCTGATTCTCCTTAGGATGATGCCCAGTTCAGTCGTGTGGCTCTGGATACCCGATTGAATAACCGTGTGGTCGATCTTCGTGTTAGTAGTAGATTTGTTTGTTGTGATAACTTCGACACGCGTTTGTTTCACCATCGAACTGAATCATTCTTTTGCACGTTCGTAGACGATTGCAAATCAAGGAATCTTTAGAATTCAATCTGGAGTGTGTCAATTATTCCGAGAATTTCTGCTGTCAAAATCATTTATCGAGATACATACACCGAAGATAATAGGTGCCGCTAGTGAAGGCGGTTCCAACGTATTTAGCATCAAATATTTTAAGGGTGAGTTGTAATCAAGGATAATAACTTTTGATAAAGTAACGTGTTACGAGACGTGTTCCTTCCGGGGGGGAAATGGGAAAATAGGCGAGGCATATTTGGCTCAGTCCCCGCAGCTATACAAGCAAATGTGCATTTGTTCCGATTTCGAGCGCGTCTTCGAAATTGCTCCAGGTAAG